ACCATGATGATGATGGTTGATGAGTGGCCCCAATTAAATGCTTTCCTTTATAAGAACTGCCGTGGCCATGGTGTCTCCTCACAGCGACTGAAACCTCAAGACCCACAGACATTCAGTCTGGTAGTCTAGTGTTGCTCAAATGCTCTGTCTTGGTGGCTTCCTTTCTCCTAACAGTTTTTTCTTTATGTGTTCAGTAACCAGCCTAGCCTCATAGCCCCACACTGGGTCACCACTTCATGGGGACACCCTCCTCCTGCTAGTCTCAAGTTTATTTTTTTGTTTTGTTTTTCAATTTTGAATACTTTATTACTTTATGAGCATGGGTGTTCTGTCTACATGTATGTGCAGTACATGCATGGGTGTACATGTCTACCTAGTGTCTGTGGATACAGAAGTGGATATCAGATCCCTTGGAACTGGAGTTACAGAAAGTTGTGAGCTGCCCGGTGGGTCCTGGGAATAGAATTCTAGTCTTTTCTAAGAGTAGCCACACTTTTAACTACTGAGCCCTCTCAAAGTTTTGGTTTTTGTCTCTTTCTTGTTTGTTTGTTTGTTTGAATTTCTATCAGTGCCTGAAGAGGTGGCTTAGTGACTTTGGAGAAATGGCTCATGGTTAAAGCACTGGCTGCTCTTCCAGAGGTCCTGAGTTAAAGTCCCAGCAACCTTGTGTAATCTGATACATGTAGGTGTGTATGCAAATAAAGCAGTCATATACATAGATAAATAATAGAAAGCCCTACCACAGAGCTACAACCCCAGGCCTAACTGTGAAAGTAATCTTTTTAAAGCAGCGCTAAATCACCTCAAGGAATCACATTTTCTAGAAAAAAAAAATTCCCCAATTTCAGCCTCGGTGGTTAAGTTTCTGGTAAATGCTATCAAAAAACAATCCCAAACTTACATACATTAGATTACCATCCAATCTGTTTTACGAGTAAGTGCAACCCCAGATTCAGTTCCCCAAACACACAGATGTTCACAGCAATCCATAACTCCAGTTTCAGGGACTCTGATTCTGTCTTCTGATCTCCATGGGCACTGGGTGTTCATGTGGTTTACATACATACATGTGGGCACAACACTCATAAAATAAATGAGAAAAAATGTATTTTTAATTTACGTTCAAGTGAACTGAATCTGAGTCCTCTGTTAGAGTAACAAGTGTTTCTAACCACCAAGTCACCTCTCCAGACCACTTTGTAATTAATTAATAATAAACACAAGCCAGATATGGGAACTCATGGCTATAACCCTTCAGTGGAGCTCAGGGGAGCATGATTCCCTTGACTTTGAGGTCAGTCTAAGCTGTTATGATTTCCAGGCTCTCAGCTACAGAGGGAGACTCTATCTAAACACACAAGGCAGCCGGGCCTGCTGACATGCATATTTAACATCAGCAAGTTCAAGACCAGCCTCAGCTACATAGTGTGAGGCCAGCCTGAGACACATGAGACCCTGCCTCAAAAACCAACCAACTGTGGCTGGAGAGATGGCTCAGTGGTTAGGAGCATTGAGTGCTCTTTCAGAGGTCCTGAGTTCAATTCCCAGCAACCACATGGGGGCTCAAAACCATCTGTAGCGGGACCTAATGCCCTCTTCTGGTGTATCTGAAGACAATGACAGTGTACTCACATATATAAAATAAATAAATCTAAAAGCAACAAAAAAACCCAACCAGCCAGGCAGTGGTGGTGCATGCCTTTAATCCCAGCATTTGGGAGGCAGAGGCAGGCGGATTTCTGAGTTCGAGGCCAGCTTGGTCTACAGAGTGAGTTCCAGGACAGCCCGGACTACACAGAGAAACCCTGTCTCGATAAAACAAACAAACAAACAAACAAACAAACAAACAAAAAACACCAACCAACCAGTCAAACCAAAACAAGCAACCAGTAGCAAATGTTCTAGCCCTAGTGTGCTACTTACAGAATTCTGTTCCTGTTAAAGTGGGTTCCAGTGATTAACCTATTCTGTCTACATAAAGGTTTCACAAAGCCAATTTTTTTATTATTCCCATTTGACAATGGAAGACACTGAAGCAAAGAACAGGAGCATAACTCACCGATGCTGGCACATCGGCATCGAGGCCTGTAAGGCAAAGGCTGTCACCATCAGCCGGCTTGGCACTGGTGGAGCCAAACTGAAAGGTTAGGAACAGCTGCAAAGCCACCTGGAGTCTTGACACAGAAGCGGGCCGGCTTGGCACGCTTCCTTCTTTCTATGCTTCCTGTGGTTTTTTTTTTTTTTTTAGGGGAGTTAGTTTTGGGATAACAAGGTCTCACCATATAGCCTCGGCAGGCCTGGATTCATAGAGAGCTGTTTGTCTCTGCCTCTGAGTGCTGAGACCAAAGGTGTACAATGCCACAGCCCGGTCCTTTCTCCACTTTCAGTTTGTGTGTCCACTCTTTGAGAGGGGCGGTCCCCTGCCACGGCTGTTCACTCTCTCATTGCCTTCCTAACACTATTTCCATACTGTCCCATCCAGTGTCTACAGCTACCCGGGACTGGTAAGGTTAAAACTGAATAAAATTTGGCTGGGGAGATGACTTGGTGGGCAAGAATCCTTGCTGTGTAAGCACAGGGCCTTGAGCTGGGACTCTAGCACTCATTTAAAAAGCAGGAGTGACCTGCAACCCATGCACGATGCAGGGAGGTCAAGATGGCAAGACCCCTGACTCAGGAGAAACCTGGCCTCAAAGGAGTCAGAGAGTGCTAGAAGACATCTCATGCCCCCTCACCTACACATGTGTACATGTACGTCTGCACACTCACATGCATGGGCATGCACACTCACAAGAGCAAATAAAGCCTAAGTTCGTCAGTGCTACAGGCCACGCAGGAAATACAGATCAGGATACTGCCATCACAGGAAGTCCTAGTGGACAGGGTCTACCCACAGCACACTGCAGAGGGAGCCTAGGAGAGCGTGCATGCTCACTTTCCATCTAACGGTGCCTTTCCTGGGCCAGAGAGGAGAGTCAGAGCCTGGAGCCTGACAGCTAGATGCTTTGAGGCTGTACAGCAAGGCTTTCACGCACAGGGAACTTCACGGTGCTACAGTGTGAGGGTCACTGCTGCTATACAGGATGCTGACCTCCCGGCTACTGACCACAAGAGGTATGTCCAGGAACCCAATGTACTGGCTTCGGAGTGTACTGACTGAACTGACTATGTAGCTGGCTCTAGAGACATGTGCCATGATGTCTTCACTGAGAAAGAAGAGAGCATTGTGGGAGAGGGAGGTAGCTCAGTTGGTAAAGTGCTTGGCCGCCCAGCATGCACAAAGCCCTGGGGGTTGACCCCTGGGACCACGTAAACCAGGGATGCCACCACTTACTTGTATGTGTAGCACTCAGGAGGTGGAGGTAGGAAGATCAGAAGTTCAAGGTAATCCTCTACCACAGAGCAAGTTCAAGGCCAGACAGGGAGCCAGATGCGTGGAAACCTGTCATTAAAAAAAAGAGAAATGAAAAAAAAAAAAAGCATTCTTGAGGAATGTTTTCATTTCTTCCGCGTTACTCTTTTATAGGTTAAGCACAATTGATTCATAGTATTTACAGTTAACTAACTTAATTCTAAGCGTTCTGTTTTCATTTCGCTGCAGGATATTAAATCCCACGGGGGGGGGGGGGGGCGGGGAGGAGAGGCATTACTGTCTCTGCTACATACTGTTTACATTTCATTACATATGTTTGTGATCTACTTCGTTCTTCATGTGGAAAGTATTTAGAAACCGGGGTATCGTTTTGTCACCCGACAATTCACATTACATGGTTTTTACTTAATTACATGTCATTCACAGGAAAACATTAAAAAAAGGCGTTCCTGCTGTGAGTGGTGGCAGATGCACTCTGGAAGCCAGACAGGCATCAGAGTTCCAGGCCAGCCAGGGAGAGCCTGTCTCAAAAACAAAATAAAGCACCCGTTCAACAAAGCTATTGTCTGGTGCCTGCCCTATGGGGTCTTGTGGGACGGACAGACTGGAGAGACGGCTGCCCATCATCCCCCGACCCAGTATTTTAGGTCCCCAGACTGGTTCACACGCAGGCAGGGAAACCTCCGACAGCTCCGAAACTGTTTCCTGCCTGGTCTTTTAGGATCCTGAGTAGGAACAAGGCCATTTGCTCTCACCCCAGCCGCATCTCTACCGATCCTTAGTGTGCAGAATGCTTCTTTACCTCATCTTTAAAAGAATGCCTCTACAACTGCCCACAGTTAGGCGGCACGCTGAGGCGTCTGCATCTTACAGGAGAGCCCGAGGAGCACATATAAAGGCTTTCCAAAAGAGCTGGGCAAGGGGAAGTTTCTGCCATCTTTTTGTTGTTGTTCATAGTCTCACTATGTGGCCTAAGCGGGGCTCGAACTCCTGGAAATCCACCTGCCTCAGTTGGGAGCTGAGATTACAGGCAGGCGACACCACGCTAAAGCTAAAGCAAGAACGAGTCCCTCAGAAACCAACTTCCTAGCGCTCAGGCCGGACGAGCTATCTTCATCAGAGCCACGGCACACAGAGATCCCGCCCAGCCATTCCGCCCGCCACCCGCCGCCGCAGAACGCACACCGGTGTAAGGCTGCCGGCATCCACCGGCTCCTGGTAGCTCCCGCTTCCGCTCGCTGGACTGCTTCCGGGGCGTGCTCTAGCCGCGCATGCGCGGTGGATCAGCAAACCGTCGCGGGGCCGCCCCCGAACCCACTACGTCCCCGAAGCCAAAGTCCACTGAGGAAGCTGAGCAGAGGGATCGTCGTGAATTCCAGCCCAGCCTGAGACTCACAGTGATCCTGTCTCACAAAACCAGGGAAAAGCCAGGTGCGGGATCGCACGGCTTTAATTCCAGTCTCCGGACACAGAGACCGGGTATCTCTGAGCTCCAGGCCAGATTTGTACAGTGAGCCTCCGTCTAACCAACCCAACAAAAAAAAGGGTGAAAATGATAGGGCGTTTTAAAATTGTACTTCGTTCATAAATAAGACAGACGTAACCTGTTCAATAAACATAAATGAGGTAATGGCTAAAAAAAAGTGTTTTAATGGAAAGTCTTCCTCTTTTTACAACTTTGAACACTCATTACTGAAGCCCGTGTCTGGAAACTGGTACAACAGAAAAGGAAGACACCTCTTTCCTGGGCCAGGCCTGCGTCTGCCCAGTGCCTCTGTGGACATCTCCCATCTCCCACTGTGCTATATGCTAAGTCTGCAGAGATATCCATCCAACCATGGCCCTGACATGTGCAGCTTCTGCTAAGCCGCAGGTAGTGGTCAGCACATCTGAAAACATCAGTCATTAGTGGTCAAGTGTTGAACGGATGTTAGGAAACAGAAGAAAGAACGAGCAGCGATTTCCAAATTCTCCCTTTGCATCTTTTCTGGCCTTCAGTAGGAGTCGTCATAGAAAACAAAACACAGTCAACCACACCTGCACAATGGGTTCATTTCAGCCTAGGAGTCTCCAAACATTCATGTTACAGAAGAAAAGCTATAATACAGGCAATGAAAAAGACCAGCATCACCTTTCCCCCACAAAATGACATAAAAATGAACAAAACATTAAATAAACATTATTAATAATTAAATATATTAACACCAAAATCAGGTATAAATTAGGAAATAAATGTACAAACTATTTCACAAAGTGCTTTTAAAAATATATACACAACATTCAAGAAATTCTTAATGTAAGACATTTCAGATTGAACTTTTGGGGTGATACATTTTTTTCAAGTGTCCTTTTCTTTCAAAAAGTATTAACACACACACTAATACAGCACTTAACATACACATACACGGACATACATACAAACACATACACACTAATACAGAACTTTAACATACACACACACACACACATACACACACACACACACGTATGCATACATAAAAGGCATATTCCCAGATTGGCAAGGAATAAAAACCATTTTCACAGTTACTTAAAATGTTTCGACATTTTCAATGAGATGTTTTAGCCCCCAATAGAGCTTGCAGACTAATTTTATAAAAACTGCCAGGAAGGAAAAGAGCTAAAGAGATGATGAGTCCCTAAAATGAAGCTGCTAATACTCCTGTCACGTAGCGATCAGAAACTTGTTTCTGTAAAGTTAAAACCGTCATGTAGTCAGCCCTTGCTGTGTATGTGTTTCCTAAACCTTGTGCCTATGAGACATATGCACATGGTTGTTGACATCAGTCTCATAGGAGAAGGAGAATGTCCTAGAGTAAGGCTGTAGCCAACACAGACAAGTCCTTTAATCCAGCCCTTGACTCTTCTGTAAGTAAAATGGAGCTTGCACTGTATTTTCCAGCAAGATTAATTCAAGTCCACAAAAGCGCTTTACCCACTGAGCTACAGTGGGTACAGATAAACATTCAGGTGTGGTGGTGCATGCCTGTGGTCTCAGTACTTGGGAGTGAGGATCATTATTCAGCCTCAGCTACGTAGTGAATTTGAGGCCAGCCTGGGCTACATGTAAGACACAAATAAAGCAAAAGCATCATGGTGGATAGGCCTGATGTACCAAGCCCTGTAGCCTTGGAGATGGTTTTATATGTTCTTGGTTGTTCTTAGCACTTAGCTTGAAGGTTGTTCTTTTCTTCTCATAGTAATATTGTTATCACCCAAACAAATGCTGAGAAATATACATGCTATATTGTATGTGGTATTTTCCTTTGACAGAACCTTTTCAAAAAAGCTGTCTCATGTTTTCACAGAATTAAAATGAGATTAAACATTCTAGGGATATAAAAAAAAATCACTCAATTTTCACTGTATAAAACTTGTCCTTTTCATTTGAAAGAACATATTAAAAGTTATTTGGATTCATTAAAAATGCAGTGTGGGTTTCAGACTTCCCTAAACGCAAAGGAACATCTGCTTGGCAATCTGAACTCAGGGGTCCTGAAGACGTAATATCAACACTTGCCAACTGCTTGTAAAATGAAACATAAGTACTTTAAATTCTCTTTAAATTTAGGTTTGGGCACACTTGAATCCTAGAGATGATGCCAAATATACAAGGGCCAAAGTCACAAGCAGCCAGGAGACGGCGAGACTTGTTCTTCAGACACGGCCCTCCCAGGGAAGGCTCCCCTCACGGTGCCCTCACCCTCAGGGGCACAGACACTGATTCTCCCTCACTCTCAACTACAAAGACATACTCTGGGATCATGGAAACTGGAGAGACACAGGCAATTGGTAAGTCCTGGAAAGGACAGCTCATGGTCTTTGCACATGAAGCATATTAATCTTATAGTGACACAACCCAAGACACGGAAGGTGTCCCCAAAGCCCGACTTAGGCACAGAGGAGATGGCCACCCAGCGTTGTATGTATGTCAATCTATGAGCCGCCAGTTGAAGAAGAAACATTTACAGTCCACTTTGTGACAATGCTATGAGAGGGGACAGATTGAGTCTCACAGCAACGTGGACCATGATGTCCCTTAGATATTGTGTCATCAGTGGGCACAGAACACGTGATGACACGGTGACCCCCCCCCCCCCAAAGCTAGCTAAGAACACCAGGGAGGGGGTGGGGGACACAAACAGGACAACCTCCCCATCGTACCGATATACAATACTTTACACAGCACCAGACATGTCACGCCAGCGCAGCCAGTGGTGCACACGGCATCACACCCGGCACAAAATGAGCCTGCCTGTCACGCAGACAAGGCTCTGGGCAGACAGAGGGTGACCAACATGTCATTACTCATCAGAAGTGCCACAGGCTCATCCAGAACATACTGCTGTGAAGGGTCCAAAGACAATGCTTGTCCTTTATTGCTGGTAATTCCCATACTGGCCCTAAAAGAGAACAAGAGATAGATTATACCTCTACAGTCCTGAGTGACTGAGTGAGGGTCTGCACACCCAAGCAACAGGAAGCTTCTTCTCACAGCCAGAATGCTGGGGAGCCTGCCAAAATCCACAAAGTGAGAGGTAACACTTCTGCAATCCAGAGGTATCGTCCTTCAGCCTAAAGGTCACTCCCCAACCTTACACAATTGTTTTCTTGACTGGTTTGTTTTGATCAGCTTTCCTCACAGGCAATGCGCCCTCACTGGGCTCTCTGAAGGTAGGGCCTGGCCATATGCCTAACCAGACATCATGGTGGCCCTCCAAGAAAGGAGTCCACCGTGCTCCAATGGGGCAGCAGAGCTGCTGTTAACACCGGTGACCTGTTAACAGTCAGTCAACATAAAATCTGAAGGAGAAAGAACTGGAGCTCGAATCCAGACTGACTGCAGGGTTGGAAACCAACAGAGTGCTGCACACAGAGGGAGCCTCCTGGAGGACGGCTGTCCTTACGGGCAAAGGTACTCAACTCCAGCTTCCTCCCCCCACAGCTAGCTAAGGAGCCTATGCAGAACAGTCTGACAGGTCTCTGGTGCCTGTACCCAGGTGGGGGAAGCAGAGCGCAGAGCAGACCTTGAGTACAATCCTCAGGGCAGGCAGACTCAGCACAGAGTAAAGTCTGAGCCAGCACCTCTCAAGCTAGCTATACCATCCTGTAGGGGACATAGGACAGAGTCTGGAGCTGCTTCTGACCCTCAGAACTGAGAAGTAGGCTAGGGAATGACTTGTATCTATGGGTAGAGGCTAAGGGCAGTAGAAAGCACATACAGCACACACAACACCTTGCCTGCCTGTGCTTGACTAAGTCACGGGCCAACGGACTTGGTTGGGACCTCGAGGCGCACAGCTAGAACTCCTACAGTAAAGGTCTGGATGGGATGTATATCCCTGAGATGTCACTGCTGTCTCTCCTCTAGAGGAAAATGTAGTCATCACCTCCAGTTCAGTCTACAACTAAGTTAGCATGCCTCTCTTGTTGATCTGCAAATTCAAGAGATGCTCTTTCCTGGCCTCTGGGAAAAGAGGTGTCCGTGTCATTAAGACCATCTGAGCAACTCTAACCCCACAGTGGCTGCACACTCCAGCTTTATTGGAGGCCAACTAGTCCCACCTGTTGTTCCTCAGGACAATAAGAGAAATCCTTGCCAGACCTCACTTGACACTCAGCGGACAACGCTTCCTGAAATACCCAGAAAGCTTGCCTGCTCATAGCCATAAGGCCGCTGCTGCTGGGCAGAAGGTCCCGTCTGCGACGCTCTGTAACTTCCGTACTGTTGACCTTGTCCTTGTTGGTAGCTTGAGTACTGTGAGGGGGCTCCCTGGGCAGGGCCTGTGAAGACAGCAGAAGCCATGAGACCAACCATGACCAGCTATCCATGCCTGTGAACGCCCAGGCACCAGGTAGCCGTCCTTTGGTGGGTGAAGCCTGTACTACAACAGTGCCACAGCCATCTGTGAGGGATCTGTGGGGACTCAGGACTGTGCCCTCACAGATATCGAGCACCGAGGGCTTGTCCCCAACATATTAGGTCTGCCACCTTGCAGACATGGGTGAAGGGCTGCTCCAGAACCACCTGAAGTCAGTGGATCCAATAAAGTAGAACCTTAAATGCCGACAGGAACAGGGAAATTCTCAGGCAGGAGAGAAATGTCAGGCTTCCTGTGATGACTAAGTTGAACAGGACAGGACTGCTAAAGTGCCCACATCTGTTTAGTTGGTATTATAATATTTGTGTGTGTGTGTGTGTGTGTGTGTGTGTGTGTGTGTGTGTGTGTGT